GTGCCACTGATGGGCGCTCACGTTTGCTGTATACGCCACCACTATGGAAATTATTTTTTGAGAGAGTACGCGTGGCCTTTGTGTAGAAGCTGGTCTCTACCGTGTTTAATGCCGGTTTCGTGGAAAAAAGGGGCGGAATAGCCTTATGTTCTAGTTTTCGTTAGACAGTTAACCCAACAATTCACGGGCTAGGACCCCTGGATTGGCTACCGTTGTCTGTTGGCGCCTCCTAAGCCATAAATAACAACCCGAGTCTCCGTTGTCCTAGTCTTTAATATAAGTCGTTAAATGACTGCCTGTGGGGATTCGGTAAGGAGTCCGAAGGCATACCCAGAATGAGATTGGCCCGTAACGTGATCGGTGGCCATCCCTATTTCAGTAGCATGAAAATTAGCTTGTTAGCTTGTCCCCCTTAAAAATCTTCCGAGTAGCTCTACCTACGACCAACTCCTCATTGACGTTAGTGTTTATCAACAAGAGGGGGTGATAAAAATTACTAATACAAGTAGGCTGTAAAATCGGCGAAAGATCCAGACATTCATGTACACTTCGAAACAACTCTGAAAGTGAACCAAGTTTTTCCAAAGAGCAACAAAACGTGAATGATACTTAGCAACGATAAACCTATAACCTATATAAAGAATCTTGGTCTGGAAAATATACGAACTTTAACAGTTTCGTACTTCTCCAACAGACGCGAAATCTAGTTCACTGCCTAGCGCAAAGAGCTAGAAAAAAAATGCTCAGAAGACAGTATTGAAGAGGAATTCAAGAAAATCCAGGGCTTACTTCGCGAGAATGGGTATTCTGAGTGATTTATTACCAGGAATATGGCTGCCAAACAATTAAACCCACAAAACTTATTGTGGAGAAGGAAACCCTATTTCTTAAAATTCCCTTTCGAGGAGACGCGTCAGGTGACCTCCTGAAAAGACGCCTTGACGAGGCCATGTCAAGAACCTTCCCAGCAGCGAGAGCTCGTGTGTTATGCTCAACCAACCCAGTCTTACATGGGGAAGGTTAGGAAAAGTTACCGACTCTGTGTGCATCTACTCCTTTACTTGCTTCTCTGGAGCAGGTTACATTGGTCACACGAGTCGGTGCCTTTCCAAACAAATAAAAGAACACCTACCGCACTGGCTGAGCAAAGGTGACGTCAATACCACCAGGACCATCGACACCTCCCTTCTAGCGCAAATGGTGAATTCCGGATATTAGGTGGACCCCAACGAAGCCTTCAGGGTGATCTACAAGGTCCCACCAAACTGCCTTAATTCACTGGTTCAGCACCTACTAGCAACAGCAGGAGCAACTGCTATCCGGTTGAGGAAGCCGGTTTTGTGTGCGCAAAAGAACCCGCTGCAAGCTCCAAGCTTAACATGGCCAACGGCCCCCTAGCTACCGGCATTTTTTCCGAGCCTCCTCTCTCCTTTCTCCCCCTCCCTAATTGCCGCTTCATTAGCCGCTTGTTACTACTCCCTCCAATATTCCCTGGACTAATTTGCCTGTAACGTTGAACGTAATTTACCTTCAATTTTACCTACTACAGATTACCCCCTCCCATATAAATGTAATGGCCTGATGATAATTTATTGAAGGTATATAAATGCTCACCAATTGCTCTCCGAAACGTATAACAGACGATTTATAATAATATTTCGTTGATAAAAGAATAACACATTTATGAAACTGGGAGAAATTGCGCAAATATGGTACGTACCGTCAAATGCAGGACTTAAGTTTGCGAATTTAGACCCTGCGTGGGACTATAAAACAGCGTAAACAAACGGCCATTTTAGACTCCTTTAAAAGATTCCTCGATGAAATACCCTTCAATAAGTATTGCAACTTGGAAAAAGATAACCGTGCAGGAATTTTCGTTTATTTAAGTAGAAATGTGACAAACTCTAAAATTGTGAGCGTACTTGTCGCAATTTTCATCAGGTTCCATGTTGTTCAGTAGTGCGTGAAAAAAAGTCGACCTAGCATTATCAATGACAAGAATATAACCTTTTTGTGTTAGAGTAAACGTTTTCTTCGGTCAATGTATTTGTTCTTCCTGGTGGTATTTAACTTCTTTGCATGCAGGCGTCCTGGAAATTTCAGTTTACGCTTAACGCTTGCTTTTGCAGTTGATTATCAGAAGGGATGAGTTCTTCAATCTGTGCTTATTGAAACATCCAAAATAGGACAGTAATAAAAAATACTTTCGGTTAAATGAGTTTTCAGGTGCGCTGTTTAGCCACAGCTTTCTTCAGTCGCTTTAGGTCAAGTTCACCCTTAAATGCATCACTAAACGA